TTATTTTACCGTCAATAAAGACCAAAATCAATAATGTGAGTTTATCAATCTTTCATTTCTCTTAATCTCATATTTTGAGAGACAACAAAACACTTTTACTCGTCGGGGGGGCAGATGTGGAACTTATAAAATGTTTCGTGAACTTTAACACAAACCCTGAGTCGAGGTCTGTTGAAATCTGCTGGCTCAGCAGTTTCCTGCCGGACGTTCACATGTGGACGACGTATTGATTCCCGCAGCAAACACGACTCTGACTCACGCACCTGCACTTTTAACTTCACCTGGTCGAGAGGAGGAAACATGATTCTGTGTGTTTGTTCACATATGTTCAGTTGCACAGGTCGATGTTTAACGGCTGCACTGAGCCTTCGTCTGTGTTTACCTCCGGCTGCGTGTTGACTTTATTCATGTGCACGGAACACGGGTCTTGGATTTTCCCGCGAGCTGAACTTTGAACGGTGGTGTTTAGAGAATGAAGTTTAACGTAACACATCCAGTTTTCATGACACAGTATTTTCTCTTTCTTCTAATATTATTTGAACGAGTAGACGTTACTCATTAAAGCAGCTTTTCACTGAGCAGCAGCGCCCTCTGCAGCCACACTCGGTAACTAACGAGATGCGGCGGCGCACATTTGCATAACGCACACCCATCATCTCATCTGACACGCCCCCCTAACGAAGCAGGTAACCCGACATTTCTTCTTCGCTTCAGCATCAAGCGTCTGAGAGGAGCTTGGACTTTAACACCAGACGACTGAGCAGGTTCAGATCAGACAACAAGAAAGAAAAACTCAAACAACATCTTTTCTTCTTTTATTACAGAATTAGCTTCAAAAACAACAAAACAATAAACCAACGGTTTGTTCAGTGGATATTATTCATACCTAATAACACAGACAGGCTCCTCCCACTGTTCTTCTCAGCATATTAACGACCTTAATAACAATAATCTGTAAATCACTGACTCATGTAGAATTCACTGTGTAGTTTTCAAAAAATAACTATTAAAAGAACAGCATCGTGCTAAAATCTGTATATTTTCCAACAGGACACGATAAAAGCACAAGCTCCAGTTTTACACAGATACAATTAAACAGCTTCACTCACACACTCACACACTCTTTACGAGTTAAGGCTCCAGAGAAATCTCCCGAACAGATCTGAGTCCTGTCAAACACACGTCTGACGTCTAAATGTAAAATAAATAGATTCTTTAACTGTTTTTTTTTTATTTTTTTTTACAGCATGTAGGATTTGAGGTAAAGTGACATGAGACCAGGGAGGTGGAGCATTCACCTTCTTCCTCCAACAGTCGTAGCATTAGTGCTAACAGATTAGCATCGGTGTGAAGAATTAACAGTGGTTAAACACACGATGATTCGTTTTTTTTGAGTGAAATAAGTTCTTTGTTGAGTTAAATGAAAAACATCGATGTGCAGTTCACATGAAGCTACAGCTAGTTAGCAGTTAGCTTAGCACAAAATACTGAGAGCGGGACGTAAACCGTCTCAGAGCTTCAGCTTCACGCGTTCGTGTCGACACATTCTCTATCGTTTCTTCAAGGTAGAAAACGTTTTACGTTTCACGCCGGTCGTCGGATCACTGCACGGCACACGACCCGCTGGGCAGCAGGTCCTGCACGTACTCCGCCACGGCCTTGGTGAGGTAGGTCATGCTCCCGAAGCGACCACTGGGGGCGCTGTCGTACAGCAGCCTGCACACCCCGGTGGCCGGGTCCTTGTCCAGGATGTGCTCCTCTGCTCCGAGGTCCATCTGGAGCGGAAGGAGAGAAGAACTAAGAACCACTCAAGCACAGAATCTGGGAGTCGAGGGTGGCGACGCTGACCTGATCCTTGTAGAACATGTCGTTGGCGAGGTGGACGATCTTCTCGATGTGGATGATGGAGCCGATGCTCTGGATCTCCACGTCAGCCAGCATGGTGAGGACCAAGATGGCCTCCACCAGCAGCTGCCGGTACTCAGGCTGAGGGACGCGGTTCAAAACCGTCTCCACGTGGACGGAGAACTTGATCTCACCAGGCGTCATCTGGAGAAACGATAAGAAGTGAAATAAAACCAGTGAGGATTTGAACTTGAGTGTTTTACCGCAGTGCTTCGTTCTATTTTTAAATCTTTGATCCAGATGATCTTATCTGTCTCATACCAATGCGGTTTTAATTCTTCTAATGTCAACGGTTGAATTAAAAGCATTGAAGGATAAAATGTCAGAGATCTCAAAGGTTGTGATGTGATGTGGTGAAGTGAAATAAAAAAAGACCAAAGAACATGAGAAGTGAGAGGAGGACAGAAGACAGCATCAGAGGAACAATGAAAACAGACATTACCTCTCTGGTGGTAGAAGAAGGAAGAACAAACCCCTCGATGGAGAGACCGTGGCACTGGAGGAAAACACGTTTGTTTCATCAGAACGAGGAATTAAAGGCCCAAAACTCAAAAATCTGATTTCATTCTCTTTTACGCTTATCTGGTTATGAAATGTAATGTTTGTGTATTGTTGTATTTGACTGATAGATCTGATATAAGTCCATAACAGCGCGTGGTCTGACCTTCTGCAGGATCTTCCAGACTTTCTGGTAGAACCCGACGGGGACTCGGTTCAGGGCGCCGTCCAGACGCCTCCTGCGCAGCCATTGGCCGTGTCTGGTGTCCTTGGCGACAGGAGTGCACTCCGGGATTTCCAGAGACTCTATTGACGTCATCCGGTACCTCTGAATCATCACAAACAGAGAGGATTCACTGAAACTGCTGTTTGATTCTCAAAGAACAGCGCCCCCTTCCTGTCACAACCGGCAGACCACTCCCCAAATCGGACTTCTCGTGACTCAGTGATGATGTCATCGTGTTGTACTGAACATGTGATAAATAAAAACGGACAAATCTTTACCCCAGAGTCGATGTTTTCTATGTCCAGTGACTGAGATCTCATTCCCTGAGACGCAGAAAAAAAGAAAAACATACACAAATGAAAAACAAAGTTTGGAGGTGAATAAAAAAAAAAAAACGGAGGGACGGAGCTGCTTCTTACGTCGCGTCATCGTGCAGGATTAGAAACAACAGAAATCAGGTTAGAAGAGAGTGAAATTAGAGATTAATTGAGTGATTCGTTCACTGGTGAGGAGGATTCCACGAAACAGCGATAGGTGGCGCTAAAAACCCAGGAAAGAAACAGCGACGGTAGGAGAGAACTGCCCAGTTTCCATTTTAACTGAAGGACAAGAGCTCAAACACACACGTCCCCCGTCCCCCTGTGTCCTTCTTCATGTTCTCTTTCATCTGCATGTTTGGACACTTCTCAGCTTCTTCTACTTTTATTCCAGTAAAAGTTTCATAGTGTTGAAGTGAATAAATAAATGACTGTAACTGCAACTTAGTCGTTTCTTTGCAAACAGTAAATAACGATCAACTACAGAAATTAACGTAGAAATAGAAAATGTTTGGTTTTTTAAAAAGCCCGAAATCATCAGCCACCAGAAATCAGAGAGTTAATACGGAGGAGCATGAGGGCAGACGAAAAATAAAACATGTCCAGAATAACGTCCAACTAATTCAGGGGAGAAAAGTTGTTTTTGAACTTTTCCAATCAAGAATAACTTTTTGAGGATAATCTGATTTTTTTTTTACTTCTATGTCTGACCCTCATACTCGTCCGTATGTAAATCAGTCAGATGATCGGCTTCGTGATATTTAGTCGACGTTCACGAGAATAAAAACCCAGTTTAACGTCGTTATCGGTGTCACCTTGTGAGGAGAAGTCAGAGACTGGTCCAACTGAAACAGAGGATAAATCAACTTTAACTTCCTTTCAAACTTTCTCTTTTCAACCAAACCAATTAAAGGCCTGAACCGTTTCCCATTAACTGAAATCAAACAACCTCCACCAGCACCATCATCATCATCATCATCATCATCATCACCATCATCACTCTGAGCAGCGCGGTCAGACCCGGCCGGTCTTCCCTCTGCATCTGCAGCAGAATCACATCAACACTAAATTACAACTCTGTCAGATTTCAGCGTCAACGCTCCCTCGCTCTGTCACGATTCTTATTTATGGATCGGTGAGTTCAATGTGAGCGATTCCCGTTTCACAGCAAAGCCAGTTAATGACATTAATGTAAAAACAGTCAGTTCACAACACAGCAACGTGAATTAACTCCTTCATCGTCATCATCATCATCATCATCATCATCATCATCATCACCTCTGTGACTGGATCAGTTAAAGGCATCCTGGGGTCCTGAATCGAAACAAACACAAAACAAGCAGCGTTATGAAATCGAGCGTCTCGTTCTTCACCTTGGAGAAAAAAAAAACAGCTGGAAAGAAAAGCAGAGCTGAGAGTTCTGGATCGAAGACACTTGTTCTTTTTGCCCTGGCGATGTTTTCATGGAAGATATAACTGATTCCTACAAACTTATTGTAATGAGAGAAAGTATAATCTGACATGACACTGCGATGATTAATATTCCTTCACGTGATCATCACCTTTAATGGTTCCGTCAGCGACAACCTGTGGTCTGCCTGCAACACAAAAACCAGGTGGGAAATAAATCACAGGGAACAAGCTGCTCCGCTGATGTTTACATCCACAACAACACGGTTCATTTCACCGCGTCCACATTTTATCAGCAGCAAAAATTCACATTTCCCGTTTCAATTCCAGAAAAATCTCCCAAAATTCTCCCTTTTAATTTTCTAAACCAATTACTCTTCCCAATCAGCGTCATCCTGCTGAATTAGCAGCTGATCGTATTCAACGTGCTCGTCATCACCTTACTGGGATCCGTCAGAGACAACCTGTGCTCCAGCTGCAACAAGACAAAACACTTTCAAAGCAAGATCCTCTTTTCTCATCCTTCACCATCGCCTCCTCAATATTCTAGGTTTCCATGAGAACAACATTTAAAACATTCACAAAACACAAACATGCGACTCATCGCACCCGTAATGTGTTTTATTAACCAACAGGATCCTACCATCCTCATGTCGCTCTTCAGTTTGCTGATGCCGGCTCTCTCGCTCTTGGTGGCGCCAACGTTGCCCAGATGATGGATGGAGATGGCGGGACTGACTCCGGTGTCCACCTCTCGCACTGAGGAGGAGAAACCCCACACACACACACACACACACACACACACACAAATACACACACACACACAAATACACGTTTCGTTTGATTTGTTTCCAGACGACTGGAGGAAGTGTTGACTGTGGCGCCAAAATAAAAGATCGTGTTTGAATGAGGTGATTGTGTGACTGACCGCTGCGCTGGACTCCAAACTCCTTCCCGCTGAGGATGTGGTGGAGGAGATTCTTCAGTTCAGACGGACTCAAACTCATCAGACTCTCTGTGGCCTCCTCTCCTGCACACGCACATAGCAACTGATTAATTCAATTCACTTTAGTTGAAACTGTCGTGCTAATACTTTTCAGGGAGGAAATAAACTCAGGCAAAATACAAAATTAGACTTTTGTTCTTTTTTAAAACGTGTTCTCACCTGAACAGTTGAGCGACTGAGCCAGTTCTGTGGCCATGACCTGGATGATGAGGCCGATACGGAGCCTGAACATCTCGCTGAACAAACTGGGCTGAGTCCTGATGCTCATGGCCAGATACACCATGATCTCCTGAAGGATGGAGGGAAAGAAGGGAGATGAAGGACGGAAACAGAGTGGGGAAAAGTTCAAGTCTAGCGGAGGACACGACTCACCTGAGTGAGTATGGCCACGCTGATGTTGTTTTCGCTGGCCTCGTCGATGAGCGCAGCCAGCTGGTCCGCAGGTATCGGAGCCGTGATGGTTTTCTCTCTGGGCTCAGGAGGCAGACCCACAGTCAGGTGCTTCTGGTGCGCCAGCAAATCAGAGCAAGCCTGCAGAGCGGGAGGGAGAGATGTCCACCAATCAGGAAGGAGATTTGGAAAAGATGACAAGAGAGGGGAGTGAATTTATTCCCTTGGGGCTTCTGTTCATTTTGAGGATCTCAGGTATTCCACAGGAATCATTGATGAGTGTTTAACAGAAAAACCTCGAGTCCCTGAATGTGTCGCTCCGGTTTGTTTCTAACTGCGTCGCTGTGTTCGTACCGAGTCGAGCTCCTCCACCTTCTTCCTCAGTATGCCAGAGATCATCCTGATGAGGCCCCACAGCTTGAACTCTCCGGCCTTTTCGTAAAGGTCGGTGAGCAGCGATTGCACCGTGGAGCCTTTACCGAGCAGCTCAGTGTCCCAGTCCATGCCCCTGTTCAAAAGACCAACAAGTTAGGGAAGAGTTTGAATTCCTCCACTGCAACTTTTTGATAGTTACGTTGTTTGCTCCTATAAAACTTTACTTTACTTCAAGTAGGGAATCTCATGGTGGTCATACTGTGTTTTAAAAAAGTACATATCAAACGAGAGTGCAGCACGGTTCAACGTTATGTTTGCTTCTCAAAAAAGATAAGACTCTTGAAGTCTCACTTGTCTTTGAAGAGGATGAGGAGTATGTCCGCCTGGTCCTGGAGACTTTGTGTGTCTTTCAGCATCTGGACCAAAGCCGTGTAGTCGATGTCTCCGCTGGCGTCTCTGGGGATGCCGCTCTCCGTGGTGACCTGCACGTCTGGACCCTGGAGGAGGAAACGTTCACTTTGGATTTTAATAATTACTGAGCACGTGATGAAAGACTGGAGGGGGG